TTATAATTTTGGACAAAGAGCAACAGGTTTTTAAGAACGGGTCCTGTTCAGGTGGTTTGTTTTTACTCGTTGTGATCACATCTGAAATAAAACTCTTTATCATTTTATTTTATTTTAGGGTTCAGTGGTCTTTTTCCTCTTCCTCCTTTTTCTATTGAAACTAAATCAAAAACACACGGTGATGATGGTGCCAGGTCTGCTGTGCTCTCCGTACACATAACCGTTTCACACAGCGCTGACTGCTGGGACGGGAGCTGAAATCATCTTCATTGTTCTCCCCCCACAGATGAGGATGAGACCGCCCCCTGCACCACCACCACAGACACCAGGTGCCAGTGCAGGCCCGGTACCTTCTGTGTTCCAGAGCAGGCCTGCGAAGTCTGTAAACGCTGTGCCAAGTGAGTAACATTTGATGGTTTACAGCTGCTTTCACTTCCTCCCGGCTGGCAGAGGAGATGTAGACGACTGAGGAGCCTCTGTCCACCAATCGCAACTCATTTGTGCAACTATTGTTTACATTACTGACTGACTGCAGCCGAGACTATTAGGCCCTTTTGTTTAATCCTTAAAAACTTGCCAAACATAAGAATCCTACATTTGCACCTTTTTATTTATTTTATTTTATTTATTAAAAATTTATTTCAAACAGATTTTTAAAAAATAACAGGGTTCCTGCAGATCCTTAAAAAGTCTTAAAAGTCATTGAATTCATCAATCCAAAAATAAGGCCTAAATCAATCTTTCAGAAGTCTTAAAAATGTGAACACTTTGTAAGTAGGATGACCGTAATTCATCTCAAATATTAAAATAATCGGTAACATTTATTTATTTTTTAAATATTCACATGCAGACATTCCCCTTTGACATCACTTCCTGTTATTTCACATGCAAATATCTCAACATCTGTCCATCTGAGCAACGTGAAATTCATTTTGTAATATGTTAATGTTGCCAAAATGCATCACTTTTCTTACAAAAACTTGAAGTCACAGACACTTCAAGGTTTCATCTACAGCCAATTGGGGTTAAGACCCCACTGTGGGTCCTAAAACTCCAAATTATTTGTCGTTAAACTGACTGCTAAGAATGTTTTTACTATTTTTGATGAAAAAAAATTTAGATATGGATAAAAACACTATTAGCATTATATGAATACTTCGACCAAAAATACTTTGTTTCATGAGTTTCTGCCACAGATTTATGTCATTTGTGTTTATTATGAAATTGGTCTTAAATTTAATTTCACTTGGCATTAAAAAGTCTTAAAAGGCCTTGAATTCATCAATCCAAAATTAAGGCCTTAATTAGCCTTAAAATGTCTTAAATCAATATTTCAAACATCTTAAAAATGTTAAAACTTTGTAAGTAGGATGATTGTAATTCATCTCAAATATTAAAA